GCTAGAAATACACAGACAGAGGGGTAATGGTGGGATATAACCTCAGAGAGGCAAGCAGAAACCCACTCGACACAATACAGGCCTCAGTCAGGAATTTGTGCTCAGTATAATAGGAAACCTTTAGAGGGTTTTAAGCAGAGATTAGCAAGTATAGATTTACATTTTTTAAAAAAGCAAAACACTTCACCTTCTACTGTGTGGTGACTGCATTAAAATGGATTGAGATTGTTGGTGGAGACACTGTTGCAGCTCAGGGGAGCAATGATGTCTTGTACTTAGGTGATGATAATGGAGCAAGAAAAAATACTTAGATTTGGAATATATTTCAGTGGCAGACATGTACTCCAGAGGGTTTTCAGAGCTTAGAAGTGGTAGGTGAAGAGAAAAAAAATTGTAAATGGCTTCTAGTTTTTGGATTTGTACATCTCAGTAAATGATGGTTTTAATTACTGAAATGGAGAACACTAGGAGGATATTTTTAGAAAGGTGTTTGGAGGAATTAAATGATTTATTTTAGACAATAAGTTTGCCTAATGATTCTTCAAGTAAAGCTGCTGAAGATGTGATTGCTTATACAATTTGAGTAGTCAGAGACACAAATTGGGAGGTGACTAGGGAATAGATAAAATTCAGAGCCATGAGACTTATCAGGATCACTAGGGGGGGAAAATCTAAGTCAAAAAATAATAAAACCACAAAATGCTAATAATATAAACTATTGTGTCCTAAATTTAACATCTAATATGTTAAATTTTATTTAAGATAAAGAAAATGTTTCACTGAATCTTCTCCTGGTAGCTCAAGTGCATCTGCTTGATTTGAATATAATAGGTGCTAGAGAAATTTTCTTAGATTTTTGTAATGTTAATAATGGTGGGGGGGGTGAGCTTTTCTTTCAATAAAAATTCATCCCACTTTTTACTCTATATTATTACACTTTAATTTGTAAAAGTGAGAAAAGAAGAGAAAACTGTTAGGAACTTTTTTCTTTCTGTGATGCTTTTGTTTTGGTCTTATACAAAAATGAGGCTTACAGACAATTACTTGAGCATTACACATAGTGGGTAGTAATTTTGTGGACATCACTTTTTTTTTTTTTTAGATATGAGAAACAAGATTATAAGTGAGATCAGCAGTAACTACAATGTCAAACATCTTTCCTTAAATACGGCAACTTGTTATCATATGAATCCCAGGCCATGCTTGTATCATAATTGGAGTTTAAGTGGCAAAATGTTTTAATTACAGAAATCTATTATCAATTTTTCCAAATTATTGCCTATAAACATGCAAAAGCAGAGACAGGAAGAGCCAAAGGGAAATGAACTGGTATTTATAGAGATTATGGGCAAAGAATGGTTACATATAGACTGAGACATTGGATATTTGGTTTACCTTTACCTAAGTCTCCAAGGTCTGGGTCATATGCATTTTGTGTGGATGATAGTATATGTGGGTGTGGGTGTGTGCATGCATACTACCATCTGTATGTCTAGAAAATGGACTTTAATTGAACAGAAAAATCAACTGAGTTTACAGAGAGATTAAGATCATTGTTTGTTCAGATGAATCAGAGTTACAGTTCCAAACCAGAGACTCATTTAGAGGAATGGTATAAACCCACAATTAATCCTAAACACTCAGCTGACGAATGCACATAATCCCAGGGTGCTGTTCTTAAATAACTTTTTACAGTTTACTTTCCCAGTCAAGGAGAAAAAGAATGACTAGAAAAAAGGCTGAGAAAACTGACTTAGTTAAAGATTCACATCAAATATTAAAATTAATGTTGGAGTTTTAAATCACTGAAATTAGAGATGTGCCTAAAAGAAATGTTACAAATGAAAACATGGAAAAACATGTTAGAAATTTGAAATAATCAGTATTTTGATTCAATTTAGTAAACATATCCTTGGAAGAAGATGATTTACGCAGATGAGTGACAGTCCTTCCTTTCTAGAAGTTTACAGTTGTAGGGGAGGAAAAATAATTTTTCCTCTACCTTTCTAGGTTCTTGGCTGAGACCTCTCTGTAACAAAAGGGCAGATTGGCAGAAGAAAAACAAATAGAAAGTTTAATGACATGTACACTTCCTGTATACATGGAAAACTGAATAACTCCCCCAAATGACCTAATCCACACCGTTAAATATCATCTCCAGCTAAAGACAAAAGAAAATGTTGAGGGGTGGGAGAAAGGCATTTATGGGAAGTTACCAGGAAAAGTGCAGTAAACAAGATTAGGGTTATAATGCAGATTTGCCTTCTCCACTATAAAGAGTTTCTAGAGATCTAGTCACCCTTCTCTTCCAGGTACAGAGAGGGAGACACCTTAACAAATGTAGAAATACCTAATTGATGTAAACATTCCTTATAAAAGGGAACTCCTATTTGATTTTCAGAACTTCTCTTGTGTTTACTGTTTCTTAAAAATAACCAGCTCAAGATAATCAATATGCCAAAGAGGTATATTTGGGGTGGCAGGTTCTGCTCCCCTTCACAATTTACCACAAATGAATAAGCATTTAGCAGAAACTGGGAATAGTAGAAGCAGCTGAGACTACTTTCTGGATTCAGATTTAGAAAAGTTTACTTGGATTGGGCTGTAAAATGCAAATAAAAGAGAAGGTCAGGAAGCAAGAGACAGGAAAGTCAAAGGGAAGGTGGAGGACAGATTCCAGATGGTAAAAATGCCACTGACTGGTTGTTTTTCAGTATTAAGTATAAAGAGGCTGGAGAGACTGGGAATCTGTTAATGGGGTGATGAAGCCTCCAAAGGTACAGGAAGAAATCATTTGGAACTGAAGAACCACTATTCATCACGTAGTTGTTGAACTCATCTCCAAATTAAAGAAGTTTACAGACCATTCTTTCCCATTGTCAATACTTCAGGCATCTCTGTTGATTATTTTAAGTCATTAGCTAATAAATGTCTAATTAAGTCACAGTAGAAGCTCAGATATCTACATTTGGTAGAGATGCTGCAATCTCTAAGTACCCAGATAAATCCATTTACCTAAGCAAGTAGATAAAACCTAGAATTAGCCACTCCACAGTGACCTTATGCTCCCCCCCCCCAAATAGTGCATAGCATCCATTTGATTTTGAATCACTTGACATTTCCCCCCATTTTTTCAAATATATCCTATATTTAAAACAATTCTCACATTGACAGCTAATATTCAAGTGATATACCTGAAACAAATTAATTTCCTTATTCATTCTCTCCTTTTTTTTTCTAATTAATTAGGAATAAATTTTGTCAACATTTTCCTGAGCTTTATGTAATAAAGAAATGATTTGAGAAAAATACGAATCACGCTTCCTTTTTACTATTAGGCCACGTGCACACCTTAAAAGATTATTCTTTATATTTGCAATTCAAAAGAAGAAGAAATAACAAATTTACATATCATGCAAAGAATATATAATTTCTTTAAAAGTTGCTTTAAAAGGTTTCTATCACAAAGATGCTCTAATAGTGAGAAGAAACTAAGCAAAATCCTCATAATTCTGTGATCAGTTAAGTGATCACAGAATTATTTTAAACTTCTATTTCGCCCCCTAGCGGCAAGAGATAAAAATTTAGACATATATTTCACATTTCTTTGCCAATTAGCCTTTATATAAAACTTGGCTTGTGAGTCATGTTCAATATTGTGTTGTATGGAAGTTTGTAAAGCATCAGCTATTGTTAAATTCCTAAACATTAAATTATATGAATGACTCCTTGCTAATTTAAATAATTATTAAATGTTTCAAATTAATTCCTTTTCTTAAGTTTAAGGCAAAATGGAGAAGTTAATCTCATAGACATATATCATATAAATCAACTCTCTGTAGATATCAGTTCAGGTTTTTTTCTTGATTGTTACTACTTGGTTGATACATTTAAAAAGTGAACAAGCCTGAATATTTACCCTGAAATATTCACATCCTTGACAACAGATGACTCCATGTATGCTGAAATAAGACAAGAGGGTAGCTTCATTCTAAAAGACATTTCGAGCAATTTTCTTCTGAGAGCATAGAGAGGGAATGAGTATCGTAACTTAATGAAATACATGAAGACACTGACTTTGGTGAGTGGTGGTTATTTAGGATTGTTTCATTTCCTGAAGTGCAGTCTCACTTTCATGACTGTAACAGGGAAATAAATGTAATGTAAAGGTGAAAACCAGTGAGAGGGGGTTATACAATGAATAGGGCATAGCATCAAGGACGACAGAAAGAGGAAAATATCAGAAAATAGCGATCAGTGATACAATAATACATTTTCCACCTGTTAACACATAATTTATAGCTGGATTTTAAACCCATGAAATTGTTGTCCTAAAGCAATTAATCAAAGGTCAGAATACATAATTAAATTATTTCCCAGTTACTTATTATGAAAACTTTCAATTTGTTAGGAAATAATATCCTATTCCTAGCCTGCTAGTATTTTTTAATTGATTTTTTTCCTCTAAATTCTTTTGTTTAGCTCTAATATCATAACTGATTCTCTGCTGATCTTTCACTTTCTTTCTGCTTTTAGCATGTCTTATCTAAGACCTATATTGGTCTCGAAACCTGGAAACATTCAAAAGTGGGGGTTATTAGAAAAGAACCTCAATTCTTTAAGAACTTCCAAACCTTAAGCAACACCATGTCAGACATTCATCCTCCAGATGTTCCTTGTATCAGAAACCACAGATCTCACACTTCACAAAATCAAAATGACAACTTCTTGGAGCCAAGGAAAGAGAGGAAATGGGGAAACTGTTGTACCGAAAGTTCTTTTCTAGTATGTTCTCTATGGAATTGCTTTTGGAATGTGCGTCAGAAATCTGGAGTAGCAGCTGCAATTAGGGAAGATGTCACTTTCAGAGGAGGGGGGCCAAGGGAAGAGGGAGGAGGGAGTGGGGGAAGAATAGAGATGAGGGGAGGGCACATCCTGGAGAGATAATCCCTGTATGCCCTCATGACATCAGCCTCCTGCAGGTATATAGAGGGAATGGCCAAAGCACCTCTCATACTTCAGTCACTTTCAAAATCAGCTGAAGCTAAGGAGGCACTAGAGAGAGCTCCCCTTCAGCGTGCCTGACGTTTGTGAACTTGGCTCCCTAGGAATCTGAAGGAGATGATGGCAGGAATGAACATCCAGCTGGTGTGCATGATCCTCCTGGCTTGCACCTCCTGGAGTCTGTGCTCAGGTAAGCTCAGCTGCATTCATAGCTCCCTAAAGAGAATTCTTTTTTCTTTTCTGTAGAGTGTTGCTACTTAATTTAATGTATCCAAGGAGGAGAGTTTCTCCCTTATTTTGGATTTGCTTTTTAGTGATAGAAGCTGCACATTTTCTTTCTCTGTCTTTATGATTACAAGAACTGAGAGATTTCTGTTTTTAAATCTGCAAGGCAATAAGGGGTTTAATAAAACACTTCAGGTCCTTCTGTGGAATGCAATTACTAGAGAAAATAAAAAACATCTAAAACTTAAAAGAGGCTGGTCACCATCTGATGAGAAGTACAGAGCAGTGTCTGTCAAAGTGAGAGCCCTTAATTAACAGGCAGTCCATTCAAAATGCTTTGTCTCATTCTGTCATTCTCTGAGGAGGCAGTGGCTTCTCCCTCCCCCAAAATATTTTTCTTAACTGTTCATGTGTGTTAAGATAACAACTGATTGAAAATGGATCCTTAATGATAAATAAATGAAGCATTATTTGTAAAAATTATTTCTGGAAAAATACAAAAATATTCTAAGTCCTTTTGGAGAACACATTTTATATAGTATTTTTATGTGACAAATAATAGACATCCTATTAATTAATTTCTTTTTTTTGCATGCCATTGAAATTGATACAAAATATATTTGGAACATTGGCATTCTTATATTAATAAAGATTATTTTCTTAGAGTGTTTTGTGATAATTAAGGAGAAGCCATAGATTTCTAAATAATTATCAATAATTCATCTTAAAAATGAGATTTAAATTTAGAAGAGTAACAAAACATAATGACTGCAATATACTTCAATTAATTTTTAAAATAATTAAATGGTCACAACAAAATGAAAAAGAAAACAGAGACTAAATGCAGGAAAAATAATTTAACCTGTTTTATACTTTTTATCTGATAAATATGACATGGATATGTTTAATTTAAATTTCTATGATTTTATTTAAATTATAAAATTAAATCTAGCAGAAGATATAAATGTTAATTATAAAACATTTTAATTCTTTTGATTTTTAAAAAGACTTTGAACTTCTCAGTTTGAAAATTTTTTATGAGATAAATACCAAATTTTCTAAAATTATGTTTTTATCTAATAATTACATGAAGTTAGAGGTATATACTTAGAGCATATGAGTAAAACTTTGTTATTGATTTAATACTTTGTTTATCCAATTGTGAAATTTCTTGCTGGCATAAGCCAAAATTTACAAGGATTTTGGTATACATCTTTCATAAATTCTTAAAGGAATTAGTTATTTCTTTTGAAAAATAGACTGTGTCCCTAAAAAATAGAAAACGATCTCTGGTTTAATTTATTTCCTAGATACAATATAACAAATGGTTTCTCCAAATGTCACACTTCTTTTTGATAAAAGTATATAGTGCAAAGAGATAGAGTCTTTTTAACTTCTGCTTTGTTTTATGACATGCAGGTCAGTGAATTTGAATTAAGTCATCTTATTGTGCTGTTCTTTAACTAATTTTTTAATTACCTTATAGTATTTTCTAATTTTTTGGTAAAATAATCATTAGTGAAAACTGGAAATTATATTCTTTAAAAAAAAATCAGAAATCCATTTTTAATGCTATTGTATATGTATTAATGCACATCACTTTTGTTTAATCATTTTCCTTAATGGACTGTGATAAAATTACTAAGTACACATAATTGGAATTTTTTTAAAGTAGAAAATCAAATCTTTCAAAATGTATTTTGTAAAATAGAATCTCAAATAAATCTGAATGTTTTTCTTATTATAAAATTATCAATAAGAAATTCTCCTTTTTTTTGTTTTTGTTTTAAAAAGTCTTTGTACACACCTCCTCATGATGTTTTTTAAGTATCCATATGCATATATTCTATATATGTAAACTATTGTTGGTGAAAATGAACCAGCATATATGAGGACATTTCTATTATATGATATAATCAGGTTTTTAACTTTGAGATTTAGAGATTAAATAACTCCAAATCATCAATAGCCCCTTTGCCATATAATCATGTGCTTATTTTCTTAGAAGTGCCTCTAGTACTCTGGCTGCTTTTCAGTCTAAAATAAAACTAAACATTTTTTCTGAATACTATTTTGAGTAGAATAAGTACATAGGAAGGATAGCATGCCTCTAAGACTAATTTTTTTTAGATAAATCTAAAATCTGCAGGTTACAATATAACTATATGATATGTGATTATATAGTAAACATATGGTTTTGATTTTATTCAGATTCAGAAGAGGAAATGAAAGCATTAGAAGCAGATTTATTGACCAATGTGCACACATCAAAGGTAAGTTTTTCTTTTTTTTTAAACCAAAGATTGGGAAACATAGGGACTCTCATTATAAACATGGTGTCCTTTTCCTATAGCAATAACTTCCCATAAAGGCTGAAAAGTTCATTGGGAGGCATTTCCTTTTTCGGGAAACTTTTCCTTGAGTTCAAAGGAGTTAAGGGTGTGGATGTGACAGGGAAAGAAATTATAGTGACTATCAATCAGTATATTGTAACTTTAATTAAATAGTCACATATTATTTATGTGGACATGTACATGTATTTGAAGAAATCCTGTTTCCATTCCTATCAAATTGTGTGTGATGAAAGGTATACTGGCCTCAAGTTAAATACATAAATGAGAGTTCAGTGACATTTAGCCTTTTATATTATATTGGGGAAAGTAAAATAGAGTTCCTAAATTAAAATAGAAAGTTCATGACAGTCCATGAAAGACATGTGGCAGAGTGTAAAGAGCAATAATTGGCAAACAGAAGCCCTGAGATTTAATTCTGCAACCATGACTTATGAACTATTTGATCTTAAGCAAGTAGGTAGTGACCATTGCTTGCTTTTTTTTTTTTTTTTTTTTTTTAGTACTGTGGTTGGAGTTTATGGTCTCATAGGCTTTAACATGAAACCCATGCCTTGATTTGAATTCTTCTTATAACAGAAGTGTTATCTGTGTCTGCTCATTGTTTTTATTGAATCAAGTAAAACTTTGTATGCTGGACTCTATTGTTCCTCTCCTGGGGTCTTAAAAACAAGGTTCCTAGATCCCAACCTGTAGCTAGGAATACAACTCAATTACAATATAACTGATTACCTGGTACCACACTATATGGATTTACCCAGTGTGTATCTAAATGTAGAGTTAGAGAACAGGGTTCCCACCCAAAAGATGTTTCTCAAAGAAAATAAAATTTTGAGGTGAGATAGTCACCTGGTGCAGTCACTGTTGTAACACTGGGATACCAAGGCTGAAGGGTCAACAGATGCTATGGTAAGAAAGTAAGAGCTCAAAACGCCTGTCTAATTTCTGAAGCAATGCTCCAGCTCGGGTCTTGCCATCTCAGGTTTCTCTTCTCTAATTGGATGAGCATGTTTTAGGTACAACAAACCTTACCATATACATAGAATTATGTTTGCTAGTATTTTGGTACACTTTTATTTTTATTTATTTTTATTTTTTTTTAAATATATCTTTATTGATTTCAGAGAGAGGAAAGGAGAGGGAGAGAGAGAGCTAGAAACTTCAATGATGAGAGAGTCATTGATCGGCTGCAGCCCGCAACCTGGGCGTGTGCCCTGACCGGGAATCGAACCCTGATCGCCTGGATCCTAGGTCGACGCTTAACCGCTGAGCCACGCCTGGCAGGGCTGGTACACTTTTATTAATAAAGGGAACCCAGTACATATGATTTCTTCAGGCTTTCAAAAATCTGCTGGAATGTTGTAATTTTCTATGATCAAAATCAGTGCCTTGTATACAGTAAGAATTTAATAAATATTTATGAACTAACAATGGAAACCTAGGATTCATTACCTACCTTCACTTTTGCATTCAGCTGTAGAAATTTTAGAGCTCTGCTACAGGTGACTTTAATTATTTTCAATTTAGTGAAATGCTCGAATCCACCATTTGTTGAGCTCATCTGAGTTCAGTATATTACAGGTAACGTTAGTCATATAGATTAGGTTCCATTTAATTAAGGAAACACAAATTTGACCAGGATCTTATTATGTATTAGAAAGTTAAATCAAATAATGGTAAGTAGAAACCACAAATGTTCTAGTTCTCCTCATGTCAAAAAAGAAGAAAATATTCTAAACTTTTTATCTATATGTTTAGGTCTATTATAAACATTTGTATAAAATATCTTAATAACTAAGAATGTTAATTGTTAAAGAATAGTATTCATAATATTTGCTAAAGATAGTAAGAAATACTTTTTTCAAAAGGAACTACTACCGGGGAGATTTTGCAGAGACCAGACTCAGCTCTGAATCCAATAAGGACAAGTGTGGATTTATAGTGGAGGAGCAGGGTGGGGGTCAGAGGATGGAAAATTACTAACAGGAAACATTAAGGCTAGGAGGGGCTAGGAGGATTTTTCAAGATTTCAACAGGATTCTGATATCGAGGGTGAAAATCTGATCAAACATCAGATACATCTAGAGTGATCAGATACCAAGGGTGAGGTATGTGAAGCATTTTCATTATATTGACTCAACAGGATTTGTGTCAAAACTATACTAAAGCAGACCAAGGACAGAACCCAAGGTCAGATCCTAGTCAAGAAGAGGGCTCAGAGGAACTTAGAGTTGGTCAAGGAGGGAGTATTTGTCTTTTTCCTGAGTGAAATAGTTTAAACCTTAGACAAAATGTTTTCAAATACATGTTTTCTTAGACATCCTTTGGTCAAGAGTATTCCCACTGCTGTGCTTCCTAGGTATGATGGGGGTTAGTTAATGTGACATTAAACAATAGTGTTGAGTGACGTAGTGACTATTCTGATCGGCAAAAGGGAAGACAACTAACTGTTTCCTCATCCAAAAAATAATTGACAACACTAGTCCTGGCAGACGCTTTATGGATAAAGCATTTTGTGATCAAATTAGTTTGGAGAGCATTGGATACTATAGGGGCACCATTGAAAAGTTACGACAAATATTTGCTGAGGATACCTAAATTCAAGAAACCTTTTACTCTCCTTTGAGTTTTCCAATTTACTTGACAATGGAATTCCTTTTTAAAAACAGTGAGTGCAGAACTAGTGTTCTAAGAAATACACTACAGAAAATGATCAATTAGATGATCTCTAAAGAGTTTCCCAAATGTAAAATTATAGTATCCCATTAATTGGCAGGATTTAAGGTGTTGCTGCCACACAATGGAGTGTTGCCTCTAACTCTCCATAGCAGAAAAATCCAAGCAGTGGCTGGATAATCATATTCGGGGGGCATAGTTGAAAGAATTTCCAAACCATTGAAGACATTATCGTGAAGGTTTTTGTACTCACAGATTACAAAAAGGGGTATGCACATTTATAATTTTAAAGCATATTTCCAAAACACCCTTCAAGAAGTTATACCAATCTACACCCAGACCAAAAAATATTTAGGAAAGGAAGTGTCTTGGTCCTTGTGTCCCCATAGGTAGATTATAGAGTGTACTTGTACTTTTTAAACTTTGATCTAATGGAAGCCTGGCTGAACATCATTCCACATATTTCTTTCAAATGTGATTCTGTGACTTATTTGCTCACATTACTTATCCAAGGTTTATTTACTTATTTTTTTAGTTGGGGTAGTCACCATTTTCTTCTTTAAGAGCTCCACTTTTGTTAAGAATATTAACACATTGTGTCAGCTTTTACACTATAGCTTGCTTTTGATTTTAGTTCAGAATGTTAATTTTCCAGAGACATAATTTACACATTTATGTATTTAAATTATCTTCTTGTTTAGGGATTCTGGTTTGGATATTTGTTTAATAATACCTTTCCAGGTTTATAAAATAAATTCTATGTATTTAAACATTATTTTTATTTTTATTTAATCCATCTGGATATTGCTAGACTATAATATGTCAAGAGAAATTATAACTAGATTTAAATCCAGATTTCCTCGTAGCCAACTGTCCTAAGAATTTCAAGTGAAAACTTTGCTATATGCTACAGCCTCATATATACTTGGATCTATTATTGAACACTATATTGTCTTCTGTTGAGTTTTATGTTTATTCATGCTCTATTAACTCACTCCTTTAATTCCTGAAGCTTTAAAATACATTTTAATATCTGTAAAGTAGGTTCCTCCTCATTACCTTTCTATTTTTCTAAATCATTTTGAATATGCTCACACATTCATACTTCCAAATTAACTTGATAATTATTTTGACAAATCACCTCTTCTAACTTCCAGTCTCCCCACATTTTCCAAATTGGAACTTCGATTTGCAGGTGGATTACATTTGGAGAATAATTCAGGGAGAATTGACAGCCGAAACTATTGTTATTGAGTCTTTCCATCATGGCTTAGCAGTCATTCCATTTTTTTTAGTCTTTTAAGAAAACTTTGTGCTTTCTTTCATCTATGCCCTTTGAAATGTTTGCTAATTTTCACTAATTATGTCACATTTAGGTTTTCCTGTGCCCTTATCTTTTCTCATTGATTATTGTTGGCATATGGGAAAGTTACTGATTTTGGTGCTAATGGTTTCAGACACAATCTAGAGAATATTATAATTTGCAAATGAATTGCTAAGCTGTAATGCTGCCTGTGACAACTCAATGTGTGAAATAGATTAGTGGTCTCTCACTACTCTAATTGTCCAAGTCTATTAGTAGCGCCTTGGTCTCTACTCCATTAGACACTAAACTGATGTGTAATTAAGAGATAATGGTATATTTAATATTTTTCATCTGTAATGTGATATACATACATATTTATATATTTCTACCTCCTGTCATTTCTTTTTTCTTTCTTGCTTTTCTCATGTATGTGTGCATATGTATGTATAACTTTATTGCGTTTTTTAAAAAAATAGAGAATATGAGGCATTGGTGCTATTCAAATTTGTGATATGAAGTTACTAAATTAATGACAGTGTATTTATTTGGCTAGAGTAACAATTAGACCCTAAAATGTAATGGCTTACTTAGCACAATATAAATTTATTTATTCATATGTAAGTTTTAAATGCAATCTCTATTTTTTAATATTTCAGATTGGTAAGGCAAGTGTTCCCTCTTGGAAAATGACTCTGCTGGATGTTTGCAGTCTGGTAAACAACCTGAATGGCCAAGCTGAGGGGACAGGAGAGTTTCATGAAGAGGAGCTTATTACGAGGAGGAAATTCCCCACTGCCTTAGATGACTTTAGCTTGGAAGCAATGTTGACCATATACCAGCTCCGAAATATCTGTCACAGCAGGGCCTTTCAACACTGGCAGGTAAAACAAAATATAAATATAATTGTAGTTATCTCTCATTTGTACCAGTTTTTAAAATTCTGATCATTATCATAAGAAGAAGACATCAATACTAAAGAAGAATAAGCCGTGAGTTGAAGTTAACATTCCCTAGATCTTCAAAGTTCCCTTCAAATATTTGGAGTTGAGCAAAATATTTTTCCTTCGATCTTAAGAGGATATATCTTAAGGCAGATTTGATCCAAATGCTGAAATGAATGGCACGTTTAGGCACATTTTGGTGGTGGTTGTGGTAGCAGTGCTTAAGTAATTTAGAGAACGCAAATGTTTTCTTAGAAGCACTGTCATGTATGTTTATCTATAAACAAACACAAAACACAGAAGGTTCCATTAGTATTTGAACATATTAGGCAAAAAAACCAGAATGATAAGGATATATATTCATATATCCATATATATGTTCCTACTTCAATGGAATGCGTGGGTTTTAGGCATCCTTAGCAGCTAACCCAGGGCTACCAAAGTCAGCACAGCCAAGTTCATTAAACAGAATGACAATGAAAGACTGAATGAATCGGTTGTAATAAATACTACACTGGTAACTCACAACCTTTGTTTCAGGAATGTCTGTTTGTTTGGGAGAGTGAAAGATGCTTTAAAGAAAATAAAACGAAAACATCTTCCCAACTTGGGAAACATTTTCTTCAGATAAGCCTCTGAATTATTTGCTTAACGTTTTATATTATGGGCTTACACCAACACGAGGCATCTGAGGGTGCCTTCTTGTTAACATAACAATCTCAATAACTGACTATCATGGATACCTTGTGGAAAAGAGAAAATGCAAAACAGAACTTGTAGTGTTTTTCTCACTTACACACAGAAGATACTTTCTAGATGAAACACCATGAAGTTAGTTTTAGTTTTAGTTGTTGAACTAATTCATCCCTTAATTCCAATTCAGCTAAATGGTTTAGTCTTTAACATATTGTTGAAGTCATTAACACTTGAAACATACTAACATTTACATAAGGAAATGTCAATTATATTGTATATATCTGGGGAGGGGGAAATCAATAAAGTATTATACAGGCAAATCAGGTGAACATAAGATTAGAACTTTTGCTATTTTGGTGTTACTGAATGATTTATAACAAACTGATAATATCATTCAGAGCATAGTACAACTAATTGCAGACTGTATGCAGGGAGAAACAAAAGATTAAGAAACAAGATTGTCTAACAGATTTTACTCATCCTCTGAAATTAAGTAACTATGGGTTGAAATAAAGTACTACTTGTGATACAATTCAATGCATGTGCATTATAATTAAAAACAGTCTGTTGTCAGTATTAGTGTAACACCCCAAAGTTTAGAAGTCAATCACAAATATGAGCACAATTCTTACCTTAAAAACATTCATTTTAAAAATTTCATTTAAATTACATGAAAAACCTTAGAAAGAGTTAATTCTTAAATATATTGTGCTAGATGAAAGTTTTGAATAAGAACAGTATTATCAGAAAAAGTGTTTGGAACTAATTTTAGATTGGGGCATACTCCATGAGATACTAGGTAAGATTCCTCCTAGAGATGAACTCCTTTAGTTATTGTATCTGAACTTGCTTTTAATTATTAAGCATCACAATCTAAAGAGATCTCTACCATTTACACAGAACTTTCACATATGTTAATTTCTATGACTAAGTATGTTAGTTCATATTCTCTTTATGATTGAGAAATGGATCTTTGGAATAGCTGTCAAGTCAATAAATAATTTAATTGAACACAAACTCTTGTTGATCTTTCAGGCCAAACTTGGTTGATTAGATTGGAAATTGTTTGCTGCTATTTATGATATATTTTCACAACATTTTGGTCTAGCATAAATTGAAGCCTGAAAAATTCTCAAAGTTCTATTAGATGTGTTCCTTCTATTGGAGACATTAGTGTGTGATGTTGACATATTAAAAAGGTTAGCTTGATGAACTAGGAAGAGCACTGGACAGAGAGTCAGAAAAATCCTGTTCTCATTCTTTCTCAGCCACTTGATAGCCATTTGTTCTTGGACAAAACACTTATTGCTTTGAACTTCATATATCTCATTCACATATGTCTTAGTATCTGAAGAGCAAATGAGATAAGATGTAGAAAAATACTCTGAAATGGAAGACTTCTTTCATGCAAGTTTCATTTATATTCTGTCTATCTTGCAGTTAATTCAGGAAGATGTTCTTGATAATGGAAATGACAAAAATGAAAAGGAAGAAGTTATAAAGAGAAAAATTCCTTACATTCTGAAACGGCAACTGTATAAGAATAAACCCAGAAGACCCTACATACTCAAAAGAGATTCTTACTACTACTAAGAGGATAACTATTTTATTTCCATGTGAACATGACTTATCATTCTTTAATTAAGTATCAAAATATATCTGTGTGGAAATGTCTCTTCTACAATTGTGGCTTATTGGATGTGATTTTTCTGCATTAATAGAAATTGGACTAAATGTGTTCAAATAAATATAGATCTTGAGCATGATGTGTTGTGAATAATTGGAGTAGATATTAATTAAGTCACATATAGAATATTTTGTAATTTTGCAAAGCACTTGATGGGTTGTTTAAACAGTCAGAATGTTCGACATTTTAAACCAAATTGTGAGAGATTATAATAGGGTCCTACAGCAAAGTCTAGACTGCATATCATCAACCCCCCAAAAGTAATAGTACTGCTTTTATTATTTGACTGAATGTTTGGTTTGTTTGTTTTAATTGAGAGAAATACATGTTCTTTTCAAAGACTCAACTCCTGAATCTCTCAGAAATGGGGAGGTAATAGTGATAAAATAGGATCACTTAAAAGAATGATCGATCAACTATTGATAATTATGGCTATCTTAATAAATGATTTTCAACTGACTTTGTTTTTCTGTTAAATGAACTTACTAGCCAATAAAGAGACAATAAGCCATAGGAACCACATATTTCTCTGAAGTTAACTTCCATTAGAAGAGTTACCATTCATTGGCTCCCCCTCCCCATGATTCAGTAAATGATGGCTATATTTTTAACTTCATCAAGAAATATGTGTGATTAATATTTTTTTCCAATTGAGAGAGAATTTTTGAGGGAAAAGAACTACTAGAAATAACTGCTCAAAAACTTTGTTTGAGACCATATTTATGGTGGGTCTCATAAACCTTCGCAGCTCTTACATTTCACCATTAGTGGTGGCATCCTGGACTCTCACTCTTACAAGGGTCTAGGAAGAACACTCCTCACAAGGCTGAAACCTAGTCCATAGCCGTCTTTGAAAGATAATATTAGGGTATAAGTTGTTCTGGAATTAAGAAGCTTTCAGAACCCCATGTTCTTTGATGATTGTTCCTCCCCTAGGTAAAACCCTATTAAAGAACAACCCACTGATCTCTGTTTTTTCCTGTTAAAATCATGCCTTCTCACAACCACCCTCCCCCACCATCTTTACCATCCTATCAGCTTCAACATTAAAAAGTGTCCAAAACATGATCCTAAGAAGGAAACTATTTTGCAGTGATTAGAGTGTGCCCTCTGAATTCAGAATGCCCAGATTTAGCTCCACTATTCACTAGTAACGGTGGACAACTTATTGAACCTGCTTATTCAACTACAAAACGTGAAAAATGATGAGGAATGGAGGAGAATGTCAAATAGTCTGATATATGGAAAAGATGTAAAAGGTTTCCTGGAACATATTAATAACCTAATTTAAGTTATTTTGGTGACTTTCATACCATTTTTCCTTTTCCCTTCAAAAATTACAGAGCATAACACAATTTCACATGTTAACCCTCTGGGTTATAAAACTGCTGATCTCCTAACTCATTACTTGCTTCATTCATTACCCTTGAGTACTTCTGCACACAGGTGCAAGATCTATTCAGTAACCTTCCTTTTCAGGTCCTTCCCCCTCCACTTCCAACAATAAACATTTTTATCCGTTTCATCTCATCCAGTCACTTCCATGGTCATACCACAGACTTTTCATTACCAATAAATACGCCTCTCCAAAATCTCAATTTTAAGCACCCTACTCCCTAAACATCATCTTTTGTTTTCAGTTCATATGCTCTACCACCCTCATTCCAACATTTATGATTCCATTTAGTCCATTGTCCTCACCTTTTTTCATCTTCACTTTCTACTCCTGCCCTCACTTTGCTAGTCTCTTGACCTAGATCCTATGGTCCAAATGAAAATCACTCCCTTGTAGACCGCAACTTCCTGTCCTGTGTTATGTAAGATTATCAAAATTCTATTAAACTGGAATCTCCCCCAATTCTGGCCTCACCTGAGAAGCTGAACAAAGCTGGAGAAAAGCACTCAGTGTTGTTGAAAAGTCACACTTAAAATTTGTGACCACAAGTCTCAGGTTCTTAGTGCTGCCCAGCACTCCTACTACATTTGCCTAATAAATTTTGCCTCTAATTCTCACTGAAGTCTGTTTTATACTTTCTCTCCTTTCTCGAGTTGCCACACTCGCCATTCTCACATCAGATGACGCTCTAATTATTTCACTAGAAATTAAAAGCAATAAAAAGAAAATTATATATTTTTCTTTCTGCCAAATGTAACACCCAACATGCATTTACCCCTCACTCTCCCATTTCAATGGAAAAACTGGTCATTTCAATAAATAGTCTATTCTCTTCTGAGGTTCACTCCTTAGTTCCCTCATCTCAGAAATGGTCCCACACCCTGCTTAGGCTGAAAATCTAGTAGTGATTCTTAATTCTCCCTTTTAATACACACCCTCTGTTTCCTCCATTAGGAACTTTTGTTGGTTTTGCATTCACAATCCATCTCAAGTCCACCTACTTCTTGCCACATTCACCACTAAGCCACAAGTTCTCACCCTGGGCCTACGGCAAATTCTTCCTATCTGTTCTCCCTTTTACTATTTTTATCCATCTACATTCAGGTGGCTGAATACATTTTTAAAATTAGGTAATGCCACACATCCCTTCTCAATATCCCACAACATCTTTCCATTACACTTTGAATAAAACCCAAATTCTGTCATTTGCCTACTTCTCTATTTAATCCCATGCATTCTCCTCCAGTCACACTGGCCTCTTGTTATTCCCCTAACATATCCATCTTGTTTCTACTTGTTTTAGCCTTTATAGCTGCTAGAACCTCTTTTCTAGAAAGTTCTCTGGCAGAAAATCCATTTTTCCTGAACACACAAGGCATCCAGTTAGAAACTGCACTCCCAGCCTCTTGGCCACTAGGAAGGACTGTTGGAGCTAATTAGATATCGAATGGAAAAGGTGTGTGCAACATGTGGCTCTTTTATAACTTAAAGAGAAAACTCATTCCTTGAATTTTGATTTAAAAAAATTTTTTGGTCTTAACTGTGAATTTATTTTAATCACGTAAATGGATACCGTTGTCTTGAGGATGGCACTGATCAATAGAGCCTGAGGCCTTTAGCTGCTTTGTGCTACAAAGCTGTCTCACCGACCTGGACCAACCAGACTGCTACTTGAAAGAAAAATGAATGTCGAATTTATTTAAGACAGTGCATTTATCAGCCTCATTGATACAACATATCAACCATTATTTTAATTGCTACCCTGTTTTTTAGGCCTTTTCATGGTTTATTTCTTCACACCATTTAGATCTCTGCACATGTATGTATGTATCATGAAGCCCTTTCTTAACACCCTGTCTTAAATAGCATTTATCCCTGGGCCAGCATCTCCATTTAATTTTCTTTGTTTTTCTTCATATTTGGGGAGGGGAAAAAAAGCATCCACTGACAGCCTTCATCTGGGGGCTGGCCTGGCACCAACAGCTAGGCCATGATGTTCTCCTGTTAGACGTAAACAATCTCATAGAACTAAAACTTCAGACAGGGTCATTCTAAAGAGGGTGGCAAAAAACAATAAACAAAACCACTTTGTAATCATGTCTGAGCAAAAACTAAAACAAGAACCCTACAAACCCCAGAAATGATCAAGTAGACTCCTTTCCCATATAATTTGAGTGACTGCTGTGTCTTTACTACTGCTTTAGCGCTACTTTCTCCTTCCACCTCCTGTATCAAAACAACAATCCTAGAATTGCCTTCACTCTCTTAAGACACCTAAGCCAGAGCAAAATCACACTTCTTGAATATTCTCTAAGTCATTGAACACAAGCCCAAATTCTCTATAAGGCCTCTACTTATGCCCTATTATTGAGACTCTCTACGATATTCCACAGAATGAGATCTCCAGTATCAATAAACCCAACTTTGTGTGAATGTGCTCCTGGTGGTGTTTGGCTGATGGGCATTGGCATAGCACACAGCAAAACTTGAAATTCTGTAGTCATTGATTTGTTTACGTGTTTATAGTCTGTCACTGCCCACTAGAATGTATAAAATGTCTTTCTTATTCAAAAGGATTTTTTTCATGAATGAACAAATTAGCAGCAGCAGGACTCTTTCTCTTATAATAAGACATACTTTCTACAGATTTTTAAGCCCCAACTCACAGATTACATTTCACAAGTTTTGGTATGAACTCTGGTATCTAGAAGAAGTCCCTGGCCTTATGTGAAGCAACTCAGAACCTGAGATGCTGAGGCTCACCTTTGCTAACGGGGGCAGCCTAGGGAGATTATCCTTCAGTTTTTGTCTTTTTGATCCCTTGTGAGAATAAAACAAACAAAAATGCCTAAGTGAAAATGGTACTAGTTGAAATGGGGAAAATTGGATTTGTGAAACATAAAAAGAAAGAACTAACATAACTGGTTGTGAAATGTAAATGAATATCACATTATTATCTTGTACACTATCTTTTAATTTTGTCAATTTTATCTCAACAAAGCTGAAAAAAATAGTCAATCCAATCCTTCTGCCTCCAGTCCCCATCCCTTTAGAGTCTGAGTGCTTCTAATCAAGCATAGATTTTAATGCAAATTATATTGAGAAGGGTTATATTGTATGGAAATTTCTGTTTCAAATCTCTACTTTAGATGCAATAATATTTACAATATAATTTACAAAATTAGAAGTCCAATTTTGTTCCTGGGATTTTATTTGGTGTTCTCTTACTATAAATGTATATTTACAATATTCTACAAAGGGTACAATGTAATATGAAAATGTACAATATTAAAGTTATGTGTCATTAATCCTATTTCAGAGATGAAGAAACTGAGTCTAAGGGGAGATTAAATGACTTGCCCAATGCTGAAGTGGGAGTAAGTGACAGAATCAGGATTCATACTCAATTGTGTTTAACTCCAAAGCCTATTGCTTGTCCTTCTATTCCTGTGTGACTCAGTAAGAACACACTGTTGACTACATACAGTGGTACCTCAGTTTTCAAATGTGATCCGTTCTGGAAGATGGTTTGAGTTATGAAACGTTTGAAAGCTGAGGGATCAACAGCCGACAGCTGGGCCTCAGGATCTTGCCCTCAGCAGAAGCCACGTGGCATGTTTGAAAACCGAAGCATTGACTTCCAGGTTTACGGCGTTTGTAAACTGAAATGCTCATCAACAGAG